TCCCTTTAATGACTCTAGTTATTTCATCATTTATTTTTATGCTCTATCTCTTATCTTTCTTTTTTAACATTTAACGTTTTATTGGTATTTTTCACTTTTTTACATATACAGTGTACATGAACATTATACATTAAACTCAACGTAACATAGAGCTTTCACTTGTGAGCTATTCATCTATTTGGCCTTTGTCCCGTCTAGTTTATTTATTTTTTTAATCTTTGTCGCTGTCTTTTGTCTTGAATCTTGTCCATTTCCTCCACTTTTCTTCCATTTGAGTTGGTTGCAGTCTTAGACGATGTGTCAGCTTTTCCTTAATGTAGATTTCTTCTATTATTCCAGTCCATTGTTCTTGACAAAGGGGGTCTGCCTGTCCCCATTTCCTCGTGATAGCTTTTTTGCTAGCTATTAACAATATCTTAATTAGATACTTGTCTTTTACTCGTACTTTGATATTGTTCAAATTGCAAAGGTATAGCGCCGCACTCTTCATAGGAATATCATATCCTAGTATCTTCTTTACTGTTTCATGTACTTTTTTTCAAAATTTTACAATTTTAGGACAGTTCCAGAATATGTGAGAATGATCAGCATTCATTTATCCACAATTCTGCCAATATACTATGTTTGTATAGTTATATTTATTCTTGACTTTAGGTGTGATAAAAAATCGTATTAGATTTTTCCATGTGAACTCCCTCCATATCCGTGAATTGGTGGATGTCTGATGTGTTTTCCACATATCTAGCCAATCTTCATCTGAAATTGTCACATTAAGCTCTGATTCCCACTTTTCTTTTATGTACTTAGTTGAATGTTTCTTCATCATCAGTTTTTTAATATAGTAGAAATTATTTTAAATTTTCTTCCACTAAATGATTTTATCACAATTTCAATCACCCCATTCACTTCCACAGAGGGATCCCACCTGATTTCTGTCTTGTAATAGTATTTCAATTGCAGGTACCTGTAGAATTCATGTTTATCAAAATTATACTTCTTAATTTTTTGAAAACTCCATTTCCCCATCTTTCTGAAGGGTATACCATCCTTTGATCCCCTTGCTTATCCATTGTTTGAACCCTTTATCATACATTGCTGGTTTGAAATCGCTATCATATGATACCCACCTGAGTACCTTAATTTCTTTCTTTATCTTGTGTTTTTTTAATGTTTTGAACCACAATTCCAGTGTGAACAATGTAATTGGATCCATGTATTTTTTGATCTTCTTATATATATCTTCATCTCCTATAACACTTTGAATTGGGTATCCTCCAAACTCTTTCTCCATATCTTTCCACTTAGCTATGTAGTTTCAATTCAATTCAATTCAAGTCAGTTTAATTATATAGTGCCAAATTCACAACACGTCATCTCAAGGCACTTTACAGTTCAACCAGATCATACAGTCAAATTGATTCAAAATTTTCTATCTAAGGAAAACCAGTTGATTGTATCGACTCATTGACTCGAATACAATCCCTCACACTAAACAGTGTAGTGACAGTGGAGAGGAAAAACTCCCTTGTAACAGGAAGAAACCTCCAGCAGAATCAGGCTCAGTGTGAGCGGCCATCTGCTGAGGCCGACTGGGGTTCAAGGAGACAGAAGCAGATATCCAAAAAGCAGCTGTAAAAGGCGGCCCCGTCCAGGAAACACACAGTCAGGTAGACAAGCTCCGAGCCAGCTCCCATGCCAGAGGACGAAGAGAGCATATCCAGTCAGTCACGGTCAGAGAAACAGGACCGCATTGGAAAACAGGCCGATCTCCAGCATCTATAAACAAGGGTGTTGATGGCGTCACAGCCAAACAGGAACAGATGAGGCAAAGCTACT